GRGKYCCCAGSACAGGAAGGACARGCACCAGCAGCAGCCAGTCCTGARGAGGCCATGAAGATAACCAAAGGCTGGAACACCTCTCCTCTGCAGACAGGCTGAGAGACTGGRGCTGTTCAGCCTGGAGAAGAGAARGCTCTGAGCAGACCTTGCAACACCTTCCAGTACTTAAATRAAGGCTACAGGAAAGCTGAAGAAATACTCTTCACAAGGGCATGTATKRATAGGACAAGGGGGAATGGCTTTAAAATGAAAGAGGRAAGGTTTAGATTRTATATTGGAAAGAAATTATTTTGCTGTGTTGCTGGTGAGGCACTGGCACAGGYTGCCCAGAGAAGCTTTGGATGTCCCAACCCTGGAAGTGCTCAAGGCCAGTTGGACAGGGCTTTGAGCAACCTGGCCTTGTGGAAGGTGTCCCTGCCCATGGTAGTGGCTTGAAACTAGATTGTACTTAAGGTCCCTTCCAWCCCAAACCATTCAATGATTCTRKGTTTTCACCCTTTCTGGGAGTATTTCCAGCAGCCTTCTAAGAAACCTTCCCTTTTCTGACAACCACACTGTCATGCAAGAGACATCCAAAACAATGAACTCAATTTTCAGCTCCCAAGTCCTGGATGTCACACTACGGAACTTACCAGTTTTTTCACTTCTAAGGTGAAAGAAGTCTCATACCTACGACTAACCCTGCCATCTAGTGGTATTTCTATGTTTATCACATTTACCATCATGGCATCCCTGTGTTTCCTCAGAACTTTAGACACAGCATCACTTAGTGGTAGCTATGCTTTGAAAGATTTGCAAAAAAATCTAGAGGTATGCTGAATAGCAGTTCTGTCACAAGTATATCCCCTTTATGTAATAAAAGTATTTTTCGCTGCCAATATTTTAAATGTGCGATGAAAAAATGCTTCAGAAAACCAAACCTTGAACATAGGCATATATAGCTTCTTAAATAGGTGAAGATGTGATTTTTTGAGCCTTGCTGGTTGGGACCTTTTATCTGGAGACTGCTCTGTAGTGGCTGTCCCTGATATGATGAAAGATGACCYTGAGCATCACCTCCTCCCCCTGTCAGTCACAGTGCTGTGCAGCTCCACAGGGCAGAGCAGGGCTGTGAGGGAGAGRAAAGATGAAGGGAGGGCACTGTTCTTTTTTGGCCACTCCTAAGGCCACATGTGGAGCTCCACGTGCAGTCTGGGCTGCCAGGTACCTCTGACCACCCAGAGCCCATTGTGGGATGGTCAGCACAGGAACATGGGGGTGAGGCTGAAGGAATGAGGGCAATTTGCTCCTTGTAAAAGATCCACATTTGCATGTACAGTTATACACATACCTATGCATTTACTGTACCTGTATCTTGGGTGAATTATTGCATATATGATGGGGTTGTAGATTGCAGAAGCTTTGGCAATAACTGCTGGCACAGATTTGGAATATGGTGTTAGGGTGTTGCCTCGACTAAAACAAAGCAAAAACATTACACACAGCTATGCCTTGGATTACATGGATACTACATTGCTAAAACATATTACACCTTTCAACTGGTTTTGTACTATTATCTTTTTATTAGAAATAACCCTGAAAAGCTGATTTATTCAAGCGAATTCTTTGCTCAGATGAAAGTCTTGAATTTGACAGCATGTACTTGGTTTCATTCATTTAGAAAAGATAAAAGACATGCAGCAAGTAACTTCAGGATGACTAGGAACACAAAAAATCACCTTCCCTGTTTCTACCATAGACAAAAAAACCCAAAACCCCAACAGAAGAATCCCCATTATGACCATCTGGGAAATGTGAAAGGTGACAGAAAACAGAATCAAACCTAAAAATCTTCCAGCAGCAGCATCTGTGCTGCACAGTAAGGTGTGTTAGTGACTCAGTTCCAAACACTGCAGAGGGAAGAGAGGACTGGAAGTGGTTTGAAACCAGTATTTCCCTTTTGACTTTAGACTCCCAAAGTCAGTCAGGTCGATCAATATCAGTGCAGGACAAACAAAGCTAATATCATGGTATCATGGAATGTTTTGGGTTGGAAGGCACCTTTAAAGATCATCTAGCCCAACCTCTCTGCCATGGTCAAGGATACCTTGCACYAGATGAGGCTGCTCAAAGCCCCCTCCAACCTGGTCTTGAAAAACAGAAGCATTGACAAGACACCAGGCTCCTTTGGAGTGGAGAATAGGTGGGGGAGAGAACAGTGTGTAGAGGAAGCTTCTTGAGACAATGAGTATTAGGAGATAAAAGAGGTAATTCCTCCATTTTATACAAAGAAAGCATCATGTGGGAGGGAAAACATTGTGTACCAAAAATGAAGATTAAAAGGTTGCAATACTTTTAAAATGCATAGGTAATAATCCCTTTTCTTGCTTTATTCACAAGGATGTAGTGAGGAATGAAGTATCATSTCTAATGTATTAATTATTTAAGACCCTTTCAAAAAGGAGCTCTGCCTCATGTGGGTGACAGTACTAATCACATTTATAACCCCTGCTGTTTGGGKTACTTTTCCACTTACCCTGCCCAGGCAATCAAGGTGACACAAGCATATGGAGACCAGGACAAGACAAACACAATGATGACCACAAAAGCAATTTTTGCCAGCTTCCACTCATTCTTCATGGACTGAGAGAGGTAGGATTTCCTGCTGCAGGACCCCAGCTTTTGAACATCTCTGTGAGGGGGRAAAGAAATACAGATATTTCAGCAGGACAATGAAAAAGCTACAACTAAAGCATTCTCAGCAATTTGCGAAACGATGTAAATTTCCTATTTCCCTGCTCTACCTGTTCCTTTGTCCTCTGATATTTAAAAATCCTGGAAGGTAATTAATGTGGTTGCAAGTGCTATGTCTGCCTGTGAGACTGAGMCAGAACTGGGACTACAGGACAGGACTGCTGTGTCCTTATGCCTAACACAAAGAGGGTTTCAGGGTTCAAAGATACAGAAATTGGTATCTCTTGCCCTTCATTGCTCCTTGAGGTAGAGCAAATGGATGGAAAAGTCAAGTCTTATGTCTTTTCCTTTTTGAGAGAGGAACAGCTTGTAGAAATTCAAGTTCATGAGGTAACATATGCTTGAATACCCCAACAGATTGGAGAAACCTGTCCCAAACACTTGCAAGGACATTTTTACTTATCTGGGGATTTATTTACTAAAGATTATTTTCAGGGGAAAGTACAACACGCAGCCCTAATATTTTTCTCATAAAACACTGAATTCTCTTCTCACACTAAACACCTCATATTTAAGTTTTATATGGTTAAGCATTTTATATACCATAGCATAGAAATAACAGTTTTTACATATCAGTGTTGTTAAACAGAGATACTTTTCAGGCTGAAGACATCAATTACCAGCCAGCAGGGTAACAAACTCCCTGCTGGTGCACTGTAAACATAGAATCACAGAATGGTCTGGGTTGGAAGGGAGCCTAAAGATCATCTGGTTCCAACACCTCGGCCATGACCAGGGACACCTTCCACTAGACCAAGKTGCTCAAAGCTCCATCCAGCCYGGCCTTGCAAAAGGWACAGAAAACTCTTATGTCCACTGTGCTTCACTGTGTTTATGTCCACATGTGCACCATGATTTTAAGGATGCATTCGTTAGCTTGATACCAAGTGTACATACGCCAAGCAGAGGAAAAACCAAGACAAAGGCCAAAAAATAAAGTTCGGAAAGAATTTCAATTTAGGCATACAGATAAACATGCTTACAAAAGTGGAATTAAGACTTAKGAAGCCAAATAATTTCAACAAGTGCCTGCAGATAGGAGCGGAGAAAAGCCATCAGAATGAACGATACATTTGAGCAGCAGGAAGGACTCACAGCATCAGCTGAGGATAGATTAGACCAAAGATAATGTACTCATTAGCAGAAAAATAACTGATAGAATGATGTTGCTTTACAGATCTAACACCCTGCTGATTTTTCATTTCAAATACAGACCAAAAATCTTTTGGGAAAAAAAAAATCCTAGTAAGCATAGCCAGATATTGTGCATGTAGTTATGATGCTTGAGTGAAACATGATGGTTTTTGGGATGCCTGCCTTAAATAAAACTGTCAAAAAATATGAGGACTGTTATGTTTACAGAGCTGCTCAAAGGCAGATGATGCCCCCATCACTACATGGTTTTTATTATCCCTTGGGACTGAAAACTGCCGGAATGCACAAGGACCTTGTTTCTTGTAGTGCAAATCTGAAATGTAAGTAACTCAATCTAATTATCTGATGTACTACTACTAGAGTGGAATAAGATTAGAATCACCAGATGCTTTTTTTCTACTCTGAAATTCATACATCCACTCTAGGTTTAAAATCAGCAATAAAACCATTTCTCTTATTACAGCTGCTAATGATCTGCCGCTACAGTTCCAATTTCTATTCAGACTAATTTTTGATCAGATTTCTCTKCAGCTAAAGAAATTGAGAAAATCTTCTACTACAAGAAAAGGGATATGTACTTCTCTCAGCTACATTGCTTACCTGCCAGTACGCCTTATGGCCAGAAACATAGATAAATAGCAATGGAATATTACTACCAGGGGAATAAAAAACACGCAGCAGCACAAAATCATGGTGTAACTTCTGTTTGCAGGGGAGTAGGTTACATAGTCCCATGTACAGGATATCATCAAGCCCTCAGGCACATAGGAACCTGTGGAATACATTAAGGCATTTTTCACACATACACCCAAAGTTAGCAGAGTTACTGATCCAACCATTAAGCCCTTAAAATAAACCCTGTCTTGAATCCATAGTGTGCCAGACAAATTATACATTATATACGTGGTCTGAGAAGTGAGTGCTCACGTGGAGATRAGGTCCTGACTGCAGAACTCTCAGCTACACACCTAAAACTCCACCTGCAGATTGTTCTGCTAGAATACATCCCGGGTGTAGGGGGGAAGAGGGTTTCTGCAGCGCAGGAGGTGCAAATTTGTGGTACAACAGCAAACTGTCAGGTGGTGGCTGGGCACCCACCCAACAACTGATAAGAACACTCATGTTTTCATACCCCAAAACTAAAAAGACCACACAGGGAACACCAGAAGAGAGAGAGCAGACAACATACTCCAGCCAAGGAGTGGAGCCACGCTCCATCCCAGGGAATAGAGCCACACGACGGCGATGACCTGCATGGCRCGTCTCTTGGAAGTCCACTGGATGGACTGCAGGGGCTTAGTGATCACCAGGTAGCGGTCAACAGAGATGGCCAAGAGAGTCATCATCGAGGTTATTCCAAAGAGAGCYCCACAGAAAGCATACAGGTTACAGCCTGAAAAAGAAAATGGCAATGTCAGGGGTTTTCTTGAAAAGAGGCATGTTTTCTCTCAGAGCCCATCATAATAAATCTCCCATTTTTTTCCTGGCTTAGGTCTTCTCTCTCAATAGAAGCATTTTYTTAGTCTCACATTATCATAGTTATTAAATGTTTATTAGAAAAGCACAACTATAAATTAAATACTAATATGTGTATTTAAACAAGTCCTATTTCACTGCAGTCTGCAACTGGAAACCTTTTGTCAATGGAAAACTGCCTCAAAGAAAATCCAATCTAATTAAAGTTATATTTTCCTGGACTGCTGCCCAATATATTGATCTTAACATGCTGCAGCAGACATCTGTCTGTTAATGATAGATGGCTGGTTCAAAACATGACTTTGGTTTATGTGGCYTAAAAATGTAGAAGTGGTTTAAATTTGGTGACTAAGAGACCATCTGTAAAACATAGCTCCAACTCCTACATTTAATGGCAGTACTTTTAAAAAGAACTGACATTTTTTTACATGAAGCAGACCTTTTTACCCCTCTTGCATTCAGGCACTGCATTACCAGATGGAAACTTGTAAAGTTACACTGAACTTAGTGGAAAAATCTGTATAGAAAATTCATCCATTCCTTGAAATCATGCATTGCCCTATGTGGTTACGGACAAGAGCCATCAGGAGTGAYGGGCAGCCAAAATGCCAGATCCAACCTTAAAGCAGAATTCTAAAGTCTTTATAAGTATCCTGCAACTAAGGACCAAATTCCATTCAACCCAAATCAAATGCTTCAATCGTGACATGATAATTTGCACTGATTYGATCTAAAGGGATGAACATGACCAAAAATACCTTCAAAGTAAAGAACAGTCCCTTCTGTGCTGCTAAACAGTACATGGTTTCTGGGCTTTCTCCACCATTGTACAGCCACCACTTGGTTTTCATCCATRATGTGATGAGGAGCACCAAACAGAGCACTGAGCCTTCAGAGGTTCTTGCTCTACCCACATTTCAGCTATAACTTGAGCATGGATCATCTTTTCTTTCTTGCAGTTCCAAAGGARGGAGCTTAAATTTGCAAATGCCTCAATGACTACTATTTAAATCTCTTAATTAAATATGTGATCCATAGCAGCATGCTAATGGACATCAACATACATTTATAAATAAAAGTAGTAACTAGCCCTCAAAATTATACAGAAAAACTATTTACAACTTATWAAAACTTTTCTACCTAATTTCAGCCATAGCATCTCCTTTACAAACTAAAGGATAACATGATTACATGTGGATTTTGACTCCTACTTTTCCAAAATATCTAAGATAGAAGAATCATACCTGTGATGCAAACCATATAACATCATGCTGACTGATGATGTCTTGGGCTGCGACTCAAGAAATTTGTGCTGCTTTGTTCATGGGAGAAACCAAGGCTGCTATGGCTAAAATAGGCTGCTGGCAAGGTATGAATTAAAATTGAAAAGTACCTATGTCTCCAAGTATCCATTCTCTGTGCAAGCTGTTGATGAAGCACATGGGTGCCTGAGAAGCCGACATCAGGAAGTCACTCACAGCTAAATTCATTATAAAGTAGTTTTGGGGTGTCCTCAGCTTCTTGTTGCTTAAAAATATGAGAAATGCACAGTTGTAAATAGACAAAGTGGAAAGTTAACTTTGTAACTTTGCTTACGTGTATACGTGTACTGTCCAGGTTGGAATCRATGGTTACTCACAGTGAATCAATTGTTAATCATCAGTCAATTAYCAGTTACAGCTTTAGTCATTCAAAATGACTGAAAAGAGCAACAGCAATAAAATGGATTGTTTCCTCTCCAAGCTGAGGAGAGTTTCAGTTGTCTTGATAAATACGGATTTGTGCAGAAAAGCAGATCCCTAGGAGTGCTATAATATTGATTGTGTCTTGCACTGCACACAAGMAAGATCTGCAGAAAGTTACAGAGCCAAAGGATCTGCTTCTGGTGATACTTTCAGAACTGTTGACCTGAGGTGTTGTGTGGACACAGTTGGCCTGAAGTGGTTGACACGCCACCAACTAAATGACCCTTTGCTAAGTGCTACAACCTGAGCAGAGCTTACACAGAGATTTGGAAAAAGCCCTTTGGCTCACATAGCTCTCGTAAGAGAGAACGAAAACTCTCAGGTGCAGATGAACAGGCAACATGAAAGGCCACAACAAGGAGTGTGAAAGCAGCAGAAGTCTGCAAGCAAAGCTTATCCTAGGAAAACAAACATCACTTCCAATTCTTTTCTCCACAGCACACTACCTCATGTAGTCGCACTTCCGAGGGATACCGGAGCTACAACGTCCTCGGAGACTTTCAGTGAATATTTGAGATTATCCCTGGCTCTAGCTGAGAGGAACAGAGATACTGGTAGCATGATAAAGAACCTCTCCCTTGTACTTGGAGTTATTTGGTTGAATATACCTTTGTTGCTTTGATCAAATATTGAGTTCAACAAGAAGAGTTAAATTAATTTCTGAGTCCAGCTCACCCAAATCCACCTTAGAACTGCCACTTTTGAAGRATATGCTGAGAAGCTGTAACACTGAACTAGCAGTCCCTCAGTGTGAACCGCTGTGTTGGCTGYGTGGTGAAGTAAAGAGATTTGATACCTTTCAGAGTGGTAGGCACATATAACACAAAAAGAGGTGACTTAGCACACTATCTGAAACACAGGCAGAAGGCAGAATTTGATAAATAATTTTGTTCTTGCAATCTGCACGCAGTAATTCTCAATAATTTGAAATAATTATTTCTTTTTYCCCCAAACATCTCCTTTAGTGTAAGAAGCTGAACAACTGAGGCCTTTCTGATGTGCTTTGCAATATCAATGTTTGCAGCTAACATGAATTTCTTTCTTCATCCTGATAAACAAATACCAAAAAAGAAAGTGAGAAAGCCATCTCAGTGCTGCTGCAAAYCCTAACAAATTCTTGGGTCTCATAAGTGCCTGCAAAAAAAGGGTGAGAGTGCAGAGTCCACACCTTCCCAGGTGCTCATCTGCCTGCGCAGATTTTCCTACTTTGACAATTTAATGCTTTTATTACATGAGCTAAACCACAAATTTCAAGACAAATACAGAGCTTGTGCTGCATTTAAAAAAATCATGAAGGTATCTACAGTTGCAGGGAATTCAATTTCTCTAAATCATATTAGAAGCCAGTTATTAAAAAGAACTCTTTTATTTGTCTTATACACTAAATAGGAAATTAACCACTTAGTTCATTACCCCACTGGTGTCTCTAGCATTGCAAGGCCCCACTGCACCACCAGGCATGGTGACAGCAAGTAGTGAATGAGGAGAATTTTGAAATTCAGCCTCACACTGTGGGACAGAGGGCAGATATTTCTTTTTTCCATGAGATTTTTGTACATGCTGGCTGCTATAGCTTTGGCTGCCGATTACTCTCCCAAGAGAGCACTCAAACTGACAGAAATCCTATGATCTGCCTGAAGCAGGAAATACACTGGTGGCATGAGTTCATTTCATGAAGCACATTGCTTTCTTGGTCCTTTCAGGACATCTGGGCTTCTTGGTCCTTTCACGGCTTCTGGGAAGGGTGTCAGTGTTTGTCAAGTATGTCTGCAAACACTACAGGGCAAGTGAAGAGGTCTGCAGCTGGGAGACTGTGGTTTCTACATCAGAAGTATTAAACCATTTAAAATCTCAACTGGAAGTTGTTTATAGAACAARGTATTGTTTTCTCATTTTATTTGATTCCTTAAAAACACRAGGAGTTCACASTRAAGTCGTCAGTGCAYGTGGATGTGTGGMTGTGTGTCTGTKYGTGYAGGGTTRCCTTCCCTCCTCATTCCCCCCACAYTGAGATTTAATSCAAGAGGAAAGAAATGCAGAAATCTGCACACAGGCACATGTGAATCTCAAGGTCCCTCAGCCCAACCACAAGAGGGATTTTTGTACCTGTAAAATGCGTAGAGGACCAGGAGGTTTCCAATGATGCCGATGGAGCCAATAATGAGCACACACGTTCCTACTGTGTAAAGAACATGGCCAGGGATCTCTGCCTTGGTCACAGCGTGTGGCTGGGTACTCATGTTCAAACCCTGCATGGAAAACAGAGGAAAAGGAAAGCTTAGCCCATTTGGGACCCTTAGTCTGGGGGTCTAGTTCCACCGCTTGTGCAAATCAAATACACATCTGAGTTCTTTTCGTGTCCCCTGAAATCAAGTTTCCCTCAAGTAACTTTCATAATTTTGACAGTAGACATTTAKCTTAAGAAAAGAGCAACAGAGAAAGCAGACTGGAAAAGACAGCTAAGGAAGTTATGATGATTATGTGAAAAAGGCAAAGAAGCACAAGCATACAACTTGCTCTGGGTAACTGGTGCACTTTGGGGCACAGAGCTGGCTGACAACACAGACTGAMAGCAAGAAATAACCTGTCACAGTTTGGTTTTCTTAGGAGCAAAGATATAAAATCCCACACTTAGAAACATTAAATTCCCTGGGTCTCCCCAGGTTCACTATCCACTAACAGTGCTACAAAAACTGGGAATTCCCCATGCAAAAGATGGAAGATGAGCAATATAACAGCAGCAGTAACAACTGCCTGYGTAAGAAAACATACATTAAATAGTCTTGACACCTCTTTCACTGCCCTGTATATTCAGCATATGAATAGGCTTCCAATGTTTTGGTTATTTTTTTAAATCATATTCAGATTTATGACTGGCTAAATTCAGCAGCAAGAGAGCCTACAGCTAACCCACTCAGCTCRCATTAGCATTAGCAATGAGAACAGTCCAAATTGCCTCATGGAGATTCTTATTTACCAACCCACAAGCAGCTACGTCTCACACTCACAATCAGACCTGGAGAGCTCATCCAAACGTATGGCACCTTGTCACAGCTGGGGACCTGCTTCACTTACCCACATTTCTCCACTCCACAGCTCAGCATTGTGTGGAGAGTGGGATAACACTGTGGGAGAGGAGCTGGGTGACAAAGAACAGGTCTAGATAGATGAAATCTGTTGTCCACTGGTAGTATTTAAGCAGCCATTTAAAAAATGATGAGTACACCTTTTCTCCCCCATTGCTAGCTCTTAATCTCCCACACTGCTGCTTCTCCTTTCTTCACCAAAGATCACATCACTGTAAAAGCAGGCAGAAATGGAAGAGGGCATCTCTGCTGCTKGTTGCACCAGGGGGCTGTGACTGTTACTTCCAGTGCTCAGGCAGCAACAAAAAATGTCACTGTGTGTAGCATTCWCCCTTGAGAAAGGTGTGAGAGGTGCTGCAAGAGAAGGCAGAGCACAGTGAGGTGGCCCAGCAAAGGAAGCAGTGGTGGCTGTTTGGTGGCACCAGGCAGAGCCAGCACCACGTTCTCAGAGCAGGGCTGCCTGGCYATGCAAATTAAACTCCCTTCCTCCTCTGTCAAACCCAATCTTTTTAGCAGCATGTGTGCACTGAATCACAACCCTGCCACATTTGTGGCACTGCATACCAAAGAAACTAAACTGGGGAGAAAGAAAAAGGATCCTTTTTTTTTCCTTCCTTTCCAGCTTATCTGTTAGGCATACTAAGGATTTGCCGCTACCTAGAGGTTTATTATATAGAGGACTATGATATAAATATAATTCAGGGCAAATAGTGTTTGCCTGTCACACAAATTATGCTTTACTTCAACATATGGGAATTCACTGTTGCAGAAATTCATTTGAGAAATGGACCACGAATTTCACACCCAGAGATGTCTTGCCTTATCTCTCTGCTGAAGAGAAGCTGACTTGGACATTCTGGCCCCGTTTACTCATTCGCGGGTGGTGAGCTGTGTCAAAAGCTGAAAAACGTCTCACATGACACATTTGTAAACCCAGCTTACAGCTCGCTGGCAATACTGGATGAAATATAAACTATTGATGCTYACAGAGTGGAATTTGGAAGGCAATAAATACCAGGGATTACATAGAGCCTTCAATCTCAGTGAGAAGTGAGGGATGTTYAGATCACACAGACTTTGGATCTTGCCTCCAGGGGAGTCCATGAAATACCACGGCCACTTTTACTGCAATGTTAATAGTACTTAGATAACTTTAAGATCTGAATGGAAAGACAGATCCTCATTCACTGTGCTCGTGTTACCCTGAGAGAGAAGGATGTGGCAGGCATCCAGCTGTATGAAATGTGGCAAGCTGATAAAGACAGAAAGCCATTCATAACGCTGTCATTTGAATCTGAGAAGAAAAATGTGCRTATCTGTGTGTGTATATGTGTATTTCAAAAGAAAATCTCAACTTGGATAAAATAATTTCATTAAACTAGTGGAAATTTTCTAAATAAAACAAGCTAAACCACTACAAATAGCTGTAGGCTAACCAAGGAGAATTTACACCTCATTTTMCTCACASAATGTATWTYRCCAATTTGGCATAGTTTCACAATAKAAAACTYTTAGAATAAAGATTTAAACACTTTTAAGGCAGAGAATTTAAAATTTACTCTGTTGAACAATTGTTGCTTTTCTAATACAGAGCCATTCTCCATACAGAGTAACACCCATCTGGAGACAAGTAGTACTGTCATCAAGGTTTTAGGATTCTCATTAAATTAAAGGCCTTTTCTCTTTTCCTACAGTGTCACCTCTGAGAAGCTGACCTTTAAGCAATTTTGATAAACAAGCCAAATACTTGTCAATGTATCGTATGAGGCTGAAGGCTAGAAATATGAAAAAGAAATTACAAACTTAGTGACAAGCTTTAATGAGAAGCTGTTTTTTGCACATCTTCTCAAATGTTATTAGTGCTCTATGCTTTTTTTTTTGCTACTTGTAGTTTCTCACAAGTAATAAGAATAAAATTAAATTATAGGAGAATATTCCATGTGGCTATGGGTCTTTCCAACCCAATAAATAAATATTACAAATCTTTCCAGACAACTTGGTTAGCAGAAGAGCGGCTACATACAGCAGGTTGCATTCACTATAGACAATGATAAGTCTTAAAATGTTATGTCAATATTAGCCTCTCAGCACCAAAATGATGTATGGTCAATGACAGCAGGAATGAATCAGCAAAAAATTAGTTTGTACTGTGGGGAAGTTCCTGCCTTTTAGACTTAGTACTGCACAGATTTTGTATCCATCTCGTGTCACCACCTCAGTCTTGCTCCTCTTTAAGGATTTAACCTAATAATGCAGAAAGGCATTACATCTTATKCAACAAATATATTGACTATTTAATGGGTGCACTGAGCTTTCAAGTGCTTAAGTGAGATGGGTTCACCTGTTCATTTTTCCCCCAGACTGGCTTTGCCTCCCCCCATTTTTTGGTCCTGGAACAGAATCCTGAGCTCTCTGCTGAAGACACATCCATTTCCTAAGTGAACATTTCAAAGGCACCATCCAGAATGACCTGATTGTTTAACTCAAAAACACAAACATAAACAAGCAGCCCATGAAGATGCCAGGAATTGCAGCAGGGCCAGCTTCTGGCATACTCACTGACCCTGTACTCGCTGTGTTTGACTCCTGAATTAATGCCACAATCACTTTTGCATTTTGACTCTATGAGCTGTTGGAGGACCTGACAACTCACATAAACCATGATGTGGCCTTGCCCTTATATACAAAGTGACTACAACATCAAAACACTGTCACTTACATGGCTGCTTGGAGGGCTTTGCTGGCGGGATAGCTAACAGATCCACGGGCAAATGGAGACTAAACAATTAACAGTTGTCCCTCAAMTATCTGGCAAAGGAAGCAGGTACCAGATATAAAAATAAACTTGGTCTGTTTCTCCCAAAGTAAAGATGGAAAGCTTGAAACAGATCAGGGAAGTCAGTTAATGAAAGCTTTTGTAAAATGATTTTTAGTGATGAAACGATGGCAAAATAATTCCAGCCATCTGTTTCTGCTTTTCAGATGGTAAGAATAATAAAGATGACAAAATGAATTAATCAATATAGAAGACAAAAAATTGTCATCAAAAAAGGAGGGCAAGGGCAGGTCCCCTTCAATTGGGTCGGGGTAGAAAATAATGGACTGGAATGGTTGTATGATTGGCATTAGGTGGATATAAGATTATCCAAAGCTTTATTTACCCTCTGGTTTTGCTCATGGGTGCAAGCTCATCTTGTGGAAATGATTTACACTGAAATGAGCTTAAGGAAGGGCTTGCTTACACAGAGGATTAATGTGCACTAACAAGGGAATAAATTAACAACATAGCAGCCTCCCTGTGTTGAAGTGCTCTGTGGATTCACAACATAGAAGTTTGGTTTGCTGCACAAAAAAATTGTCTGTACTGTTACACCTGAAAATTTTAGAGAAAAATAGTGCATAATACTTAGGTATGTTAGATGAGATGGGAGAAAACTGAGCGTGCCAGCTAGCAGATAGCACTTGCCAAGTTCCTTAAAATTTCACTGATACTCCATATAATCCAGGTAATTTCAGTATGAAGCACCATCTGGTTTGAAATTTGGGGCTTAATGAAATATCTTGTACGTAGGAACTCTTGAAGCAGCAAACAGGTCGTTGCTATGTAGTGACTACAGTAGAATTAGTGATCCTCAGATTAGAAAAGATGGTGTATTTAAAATGAAGATTTGTGGAAAATATTTTTAAAAAACCTCAAACCAAATCAAAACAACTTTGCTTGCTCTGGCTGACAGAACTGTTCCAACACCAATTACAGTAAGGTCAGGGTAACTTGGCCCTCAGAAAGTCAAGTCAAACCRTGATCATCCACATGTGGAAAAGTTATTTTCCTTATCAGTCTCTGAGTGACAGTTCTCTCCCACACTCGTTCCAATCAGATCACATGCCAAAGCCAGAAGCACTCAAACACACATTTACAGCATGTGTTTAATCAAAACGAAAATTGGTTCAGCAAACAGACCTGACTTCAATACAGTCCCCAAAAGTGACAGAGAGGAACAGGAACTGCCTGTGTGCAACAGGACAAGAAGCAAACTCAGGTGTCTGCTCCAGACCTAGGCAGGTGCTCATCATGATGTCAGAAATTTGTGAGGAAACCTTGAGTTTTCTCCCTATAATAAAGTACGTATCTAGTTAATTCCATTCCAGCAATTTGCTTCTGG